CTGAGCTGGGATAGAGAGGAAGTGAGGCTCCGGCCCCCCAGTCCCGGCTCAAGAGTCTTTGGGTCACCTCAGTGATCGCTGTGGAATCAGCTGAAGGGCTAACACGATCGAAAACTTCAAGTCCCTCTCAGCCCCCTACGAAACCTCCCCATTGCCCAGCTTTGTCTTTTTGGGAGACGCGGAGAAAGGTCCGAAAATCACTTCCTTTCTGTGTAGACGCAGCAGAGACCAAGTTTCGTTGTTTGCACTCTAGGGGTTGCGAGGCCGCCGAAGAATGATTTGCCTCCTCGCACTTAATCATTGCCGCAGTAATCTGAATGTGTGTGTGTGTGTGTGTGTATTTAACACTGTGATTCTTGTCTTTGCCCCCTCCAACACTTTGACCTCAATTATCTGGATACGTTTTAGAGCTTTTAAATCTTCGTAAAGGTTGTCACAATTCTCCATTCTGCTTGTGGAGACACGAACGCGGGGAAGGAAAACTGCTGCAGAATGAGGGAGAAGGACGAGTAGGTTGGGAAGAAGGGGAATTTATTGATGTGTGTGAGGAGTGACCAGGACAACTCCTGATTGTTCGAGTGGGGTTCTCACCAAATTCGTAAGGGGTTCTCCTGGTCATCCCTGCTACACACACACGCGCGCGCTCGCGCACGCACGCACGCACATACACACACAGACACACACACTCCGAGTCAAATATAAGTTTGAGCAGCCACGACGGAGAATCTCACCAGTTTTCCTGGAGAGAAGGAAGAGTCAAACAGACCTGGATATAGATCCGGGGAGAGCAAAAGACTACAGGAGAAAGAGGTGGAGAATCAGCCCGAGAGACAGAAATAGAGAGAGCCAGAGACAGGCAGACAGACAGACACACACACACAGAAGCGCAGTCACCCAGCCCGGCAGTCCCTAAGGAGCCTGAAGCCTAGATGGCAGGAAAACTTCCGGGTGGGTGCAGGCGGAGAGTGTGTATAGTTAGGTGAGTGCTAGCCTCCCCCACTATCCCAAGCAGCCCCTTTCCGGACAATCGCAAGGCATTCATCAAAGTAAGGGATTTCATCTTTCCCGGCAGGCAGCTGGTCAGAGCTCAGGCCCACCTCCCTGCTAGCACCACAATGGCCACCAGCCCTACTACGGCGGCCTGAAGGCTGGGGGTGTCCTGCGGTTCGTGGGCCCGCAGAGGAGAGCTGGGACGGCGAGCAGGCTCCTCTTGAGGGTCGCGGGAGCTCTTCCTGGGCCCTCCTATGGCAGGCCGCCCTCTTGCCCACAGCTGCCGTGTCCGGGGGTCAACGCTAATGCTGGGGCTTTGAGCAGCACCTGTTCTTCTCTGGCCTACTCCGGGCAGCATCCACAACTCTGTTTCTCACATTCTAAACGTAGGATGCGGGAGAAAGTGGAATGGGATGCTCACGCCGACGGACCTAACTCCTCTCAGGTTCTGCCTGGTGGTCTCGGTGTCTCCGAGGGGGGAATCTCCGCAGGCCACCAAGTATCCTGGCCTGTCTGCCCACCTGGCCCAGTTGTGAGAAGAATTGAGTGTGAGCACGGTGGTATTTGAGCGTGTCTGCCAGAGGATCTCTGTGTGAATGTGCCTGGGTGCGAGCAGGCGACCCTTGGACTTGTGTGTGCGTGTGTGGTGCCCGAGTACCACCGGATGAAGTTGAGTTACTGCATGTGACAGCATTGTTGTCTATATCCGGGCCTGAGCACAAGTGTTTGTGAGGGTATGTATGTGTATACAACCGATGACTGTGTAAAGATGTGTGTATATGAGAGAGACAGACAGAGACACGTGGGGGAGGTGGTAAGCACCACTAGGGCCTGGGACTAACTCCAGAGGGGATAATTAGCAGCTGGGTCTTCTGCACGGAGGTGTGGGAGCGAAGCGCTTTGCTTAGTTTCCTTTCACAGACTAAAGAAGGGAACTGATGTACTGAGGATCCCAGCGTGAGAGCCAGGGACGAAGTGGGAGCGGCGGGGATAGAGGAACGCAGGAGGGGCGTGGCACAGCGGAGGGAGAGGACTTTTCCTGGCTATTAAGGACAGGTGGGGTCCTGCGCTGGAAGGATCTAGGAGCTTACTTTACTCAGGAGTCCACTGGTAAAGGGAAATGGAACCCTGGGGACCCTTAGGAGCCGGGGCTACGGAAAGAGAACACCTCTGCCCACTGCATTTGTCATTCCCTCTCCTTCCTCCTTCATCTTCCGCGGTCCGTTTGAGAGGTCTGTGTCTCTACGAATCCCCGGATAATATGGGGTCCGAGGAAAGCGGGCTCGAGGCCCTGACTACATTTTAACCGGCTGTGGGACCTGAGGCAAATCCCTTCCTCTGTGGATCTCATTTTTCTTCCCTGCGAGGACGAGGACGTTGGACCGGATGGTTCCTAAAGTTTCTTCCAGCTCCTGGTAAGGCGCCACAGGGACTCTCAGAAGGAAAGAGCAGCAGAGGGGTGGCGCCTCGCACAGCCCGGGGAAAAAAGGAGAGAAAGCCTGGATTCATGTGTGGCTGGGCATGACTGTGTACGAAGGTGAGTCTGATAGCCTCTACCTGTCCTTCAGCAAAAATACTCCATCTCAAGCCTGGAAGGGGTCGGGACGGGACGAAGGTCGGGAAATATTGGTACTGCCTTCTCCCAAAAAATAATCGAGAGGCGGGGAGACAGGCTGTAGCCACCTCCTCACTCTCCCCAAAAGAATCAGCCTTTGCCAGAATACAAATCCGGAATGGGGTGGGGGGGGGAGAAGGAGAAGGGAGGAGAAAGCACAGTCCCTCCCCTCAACCTTAGCCTACATCCCATAAACATTCTTGTCAGTTCTGGGAGGGACCGTGAAGTCCCAACCCCTTCATTTTATAGAGAAAGAAACTGAGGCCCAGAGAAGGGAAGGGGCTTACACAGTGACCGTGGCAGAGCCCGATTTAGAACCTCGTTCTTCTGATTTTTAGGTCATGGCTCTTCCCACTTCCCTGGTGGAGTGAGACAGCCTTAACAGGGGACGGGGGTTGGCTGGGTGAACAGCTGGAATCGGGATTGCCTGGGGGAACCGGGGTCAAACGGAGTGACCTTCCAGAACCGCAGGGGCAGGGTGGTAGTGCCAGCCAAATGGGGAGGTAGCATCCAGCTCAGTGTCCGGCCTCCACCTCAGGCGGAAGGCTAGCTACCGGGAGACCGAGAAAGCTGGACAGGGCCCGGTTGAGGGTCCTTCGGATGGGCAAGCCAGACCAGACTAAAATCGTTCGTTTTGGTCTGGGTTATAGTCCGCAAGGGAAGGGCTGTTAGTAGGAGACTCTACGCCTTTCCTCACCTCTGGTGGGTGCACCCCTGGGCCAGCGGGATCCCCTAGAGGAGCAAACGCCAGCGGCCTCCGACCCTTCAGTCTCCAGGGCCAGGCCCGCTCCCGGGTTGGCTGGATTGGTCAAGGGGACTGTTAGAGACAAAGGACGCTGATAATTCCTTGGCGGGGAACGAAGATCCCAGGACACTGAGAATCTAAGAGGGTCTCCTGTGGGAGGGGCAGGAGGAAGACAGAGAGAGATAGAAAGGGAATCCGAGGAGGAAGAGGAGGAGGAGCCAGGCAGAGAAAGAAGTCAGACCGAGAGCGAGAGCGAGAGCGAGAGCGAGCGAGCGAGAGAGAGAGAGAGAGAGGCAAAAAGGGGGGGGGGGGGACGAGAGACAAGAAGAAAAACACAGACAATGAGACACGGTCAGAGTTAAAGGGCTCGAGAGCCAGACAACTAAACACACAGACAAACCGACCGACACACACATACAGAGGAAGGAGGCTCACCTCGCTTCCCACACCTTGGCTGGGCGCGATCCCTGCCTAGCCCGGGACCTTCCCACTCAGGCCGGGAAAGTGAGGGGAGAATATCCTAAGGCCCCTTAGCGTTCAGGGTTGGTTGCTGAGGGCTCCGGGAGGGGAAAGGGTGTCAGAAAGAAGGGGGCTGAGTGAGGGACGGCCGGAGGCTTAGTTCAAGGACCCGCGCAAAGTTAACCCCAGGAGTCAGCTGCAGGGTCTGTGCAGCTAGTTCTCCTCACTACCTCTGGACCCAGGCTGGCGGCTCCGGTTCTGGAGGCTCGGGCGGCTCGGGCGGCTCGGGCGGCTGCGACTCCTGGGTGCGATGGCTCCTGGGTGCGGCACCAAAACCTTCGAGAGGGAACTCCCCTGCCGAAGGAAGCTCTGGGAGCTCGGACTGGCAGATTTTCGTCGGGCTATTCGTCAGTCTGTCTGTCGGTGCTGCCCTGCATTGGCCCTTGCTGGAGAAAGCGGCCTGGAGGGGAGCGGAGACGAGTGATCGGTGGGGAGCAGAGAGAGGAATCCCTGCTGGACCCGGGGTGTGTTGGGGACCCAGCCAGCAGTCCGCAACGCCACGTGACACTCCAATTCTCTTCCCCCCCCCCAAGTATAAAGGCCCTCGGAATTCTTCTTATCCATAGTGGCTACTAGTTACCGCCGGGACTCGGCTGCCCTCCTCTTCCTCCCTTCACCCGTCCTTCCTTCCCTCCCCGCCCCTCGCTTTCCCCACCCCCTCCACCCTCCCCATGGAGCCCTCAGCTCTTCCGCCTTAGGAAGCGGGAAGGGGGGGTGGGGAGAAGACCTTTCCAACCCCCCTTCCAACAGCAAAGAAGACCAGCCCCCCTCCCCACAGGGGGAGGTGGTGGAAGAAAGTGACTAATCCCCTCACACCCCCTACACTTCCCACATGCTTCTTCCCACTAGCTCTGGGTGTCCCTAACTTCTTGGAGAGAAGCTGGGCGCACGCGGTTGGGGAGAAGTGCAGCTCTTGGCCGCCAGGGGACGCTTCATAGCTGGGGGACACCCCCAGTCTCTGTGCTCACCCCCGACTGGTCCACCTCCCCCCCCACCCCTCCCCTCCCTTCCCCTCCCCGCGCGCAAAACACACACGCACCACGACCCAGCGAGCCGGAGCCGGAACAGAGACAGCAGCGGCGGAGGAACGCTCGGAGCGCGGGTCCCAGAGCCGCGGCGGCGGCCACCACCATGACCCTAGGCGGCTGCTGCTGCGAGATCATGTCCTCCGAGAGCTCTCCGGCAGTGCTGTCCGAGGCCGAGGGGGACATCGACGTGGTGGGCGGCGGGGGCGGAGGAGGAAGCGACCCGCTGCTCAGCGCCGCCGCCACCCCCCGGGACGCGTGCAAGTACGGGCCGGAGGAAGAGGAAGGGGATGAGGAGGAGGAAGAGGAGGAAGGTGAGTCCTCGGACGGCGAGCCTCGGCTCCTCCCGCCGCCCACCCCTCGGGGGGCCGGGCCCAAGGGGGGAGCAGAGCCCAGCCCCGGCGGCGAGCCCCCAGTGGCCCCCAGGGGCGCAGTGGCCGGCGGGGACAAGGCGCCGTCGGGGGCTGGCAAGAACCCGCTGGTGAAGCCGCCCTACTCGTACATCGCGCTCATCACCATGGCTATACTTCAGAGCCCCAAGAAGCGGCTGACACTGAGCGAGATCTGCGAGTTCATCAGCGGCCGCTTCCCCTACTACCGGGAGAAGTTCCCCGCCTGGCAGAACAGCATCCGCCACAACCTCTCGCTCAACGACTGCTTCGTCAAGATCCCCCGGGAGCCCGGCAACCCGGGCAAGGGCAACTACTGGACGCTGGACCCCGAGTCCGCCGACATGTTTGACAACGGCAGCTTTCTGCGGCGGAGAAAGCGCTTCAAGCGGCAGCCGCTGCCGCCCACGCACGCCCACGCGCACCACCCGCACGCCCACCCGCACCCGGAGCTGCTGCTGCGTGGAGGGGACCCTGGCGCCTTCCTCCCGGGCTTCGCTGCCTACGGCGCCTATGGCTACAGCTACGGGCTGCCACTGCCTGGCTACCATGCGCACCCCGCTGGCCCTCCGCAGCCTCCGCACCCACACCCAGCCCCGCACCCTGGCCACCCTGCCGCCTTCTCCTTCGCCGCCGCCGCTGCCGCCCCGTGCCCGCTGGCCGCACCCCCACCTGCACCTCCCCCGCCGCCGCCGCCCGTGCAGTCTCAGGCGGCCCCGGCCCCGGGTCCCCCGACGGCTGCCGCCTCGCTCTTCGCTGCGACTCCGGCCGGCCTGCCATCCTTCCTCGGGGCTGAGTTGGGCTGCCGGAAGGCCTTCTATCCCGCGCAGCTGAGCCCCCCGGCTGCGGGCACAGCGGCCAGCTTGCCTGCGGCGGCGGCCGCCGCGGCTCTGCTACACAGCCTCAAAGCGGACAGTGGGGGAGGCGGCGGGGGCTCAGGGTCTGGGGCCGGGCCCGGGCCTGGGGGGCGGCCCTCGTTCTCCATAGACCATATTATCGGGGGCGCGGCGCCCCCCGCGGGCCCGGGCCCCGTATCGGGCGGCGGAAGCAGCGTAGGGGGAACGATAGCCGGGAGAGGGTCGCCGTCGTCTCCCTACGCTACCGCCCCGAGCGGGGGCCAAGCCCAGGTGCTGGCCGTGCTGCCGGCGCCCGCGCTGACGCCGGTGCCGGCCCACATCCGCCTCTCGCACCCCGGGGACGCGCTACTGCAGTCGGGCCCTAACTTCGCCAGCAAGATCCCTAGCCTGAGTGGCTGCCACTTCTGAACTGACGCTGGAAGGACTCTGCGCCGAGACAAACTGATGCGACCGAACTTTCCAAAGACACTAGGGGCTCTTCGCGTACCCTTCTCGCCTGGCCGTTCCCTTACTCAGCCGGCCTCGCTCCACTGGGGTCGAGGGGAGGAAGACTTGCTGAGGGGAGTGAGAGCTTCTTCGGAGCAACGTGCTGCCAAGGTCTCCGCCACCCTCCTCGGCCTGTGCCTCCCCGCGGGTTGGCCAAGTATTTGAGAGAGTCCGCATAGGCCTACGGCCCGAGGAGGACGAGGGCGGAGGACGGCATCGGCCTGAGACGGGAGCCCTTCCATTTGTGTCTCCTTAGAACGAAGCGGGGCCTGGCAGCTGGGCCGCGGGCCGCAGCCAGACGGCCCTTTCTGCGACCACCGAGCTGGGGAGCAAAGGCAAAGATCCGGATTTTTCGTGCCAACCGAAAAACCCTGTGGGGGTAGGGGTGGTGGGAGCGGGGAGGGACGACGGGAAAAGGGTATTTTGGCTAGTGAGCTTGTCCCCTTGGATCTGGCTTGCCCGCCTCCGATGGATGGGACTCCCGGATAATTGCCTGCTCTCTGCTTCCCAGTGGCCGGTGCGGACGCGGCCTCCACCAGGCGGTGAGAATTCCACCCCCACTTCCCACTCCCTCTTCCCCAGCTCTGAGGTCGGAGTTATCCCCGGGTTGCCCTTTAAAGAAACGTAAGTCTATGTCTTGTGTACTTACCTCCTCCTCCCCGCCGCCCCCTACCACCCAGCCCAGGGAATCAAGGTTCCATTTCTGTGGGGACTACAGAGAATTTGTCGCTTTCAAGTCCCATAGGATTCCCCCCCTCCGCCCCCGCCCTCCTGCAACGTGAAGCAGTGTCTACGAAGACAAAGCTAAGGGCAAGGGTGGCAGCCACCCGGATAATTCAGGCATAAAATTTAAAAACGGATCTGTCCCCTTGCTGAGGAAAGAAATTTAGGCTTTTCAGCTTTCTCTCCTCTGCCCAGTTCTGTGCCTCCCAGGCTGGGGGTGGGGGGTGGGGTGCCTCTCAACCTTACTCACTGTCAACGTCTCTTCCTCTTCCTCTTCTTCGCTAGCTCCTTTTCTGGTCACCCAACGCCGCCCTATTTATTTTCTCCAGAGGCAAAAGAATTTCGAGAAATGAAGGGCACAGAGATTCCCCTTCTCCCCTGTTTGTGGGAGGCGGGGAGAGAGGCCTAGAGCCTTCTGTGCCTCCCCCCGCCCCCACTTCCGTCCAGGACCTCCTGATGGAATCCCTCCCTGCACCCTGTAAGGTATTTGTAAATAGTTCAGAGCTGGCCTGACCTCCTCCCTATGGGATCTCTCCAGGGGCGCGGGCCTTGTTGCTCTTTTGCTTAGGGCACGGTCCACGAGAGATGAGCCTGGGCAAGAGGATAGACTGGGCGGATCTGTGACCCTCTTGGATGGTTTGATGTGAAGCGAGGGAACCTCTGCCACTTGCCCCATCCCTCAGCTCGGCCCTATTTCCCTCCCCTACTTTCCTGCCCGGCCTCTCCCCTCGACTTCTGCTTCTGCCCCTGCCCCAATTGGTGTCAAAGAATAAATGTTTGTGGATTTCACTGAAGCTGCGGCATTTGTCTCCCTCTGTTTCTGGGCCCTGAGAGGCTCAGCCTCAGGCCCGCGTCTAAGCTAGAGTTGAAGGAGGGAGGCCGGTCCGGCTCAGAAAGCACGGTTAAGGCGGCTGGGGGTGGGGTGGGGGTGGCAGGAATGAGGTGGAGTGGGGAGGAAGGAATTTTTTTTAACCGTCGGGATGACTCGGCCCTCTGAATCAGACCCTCAAATCCGATGGATGGGACTCAGGATCCCTGGCTGGGAGCTGCCAGTCACCCTGGCCGTCAGGGGTTTGGGGAATGGCATAGACCTTGGGCATTGGGAGTCAGTTTCCTCATTTGGAAATGATTGTATGGCCTCTTAGGATCTTTCCTTTCAGTTCTAAATCCTGTGATTTGCTGAGAGTGGGTTTCAATCCAATCTCTTCAACTAATTAATTCATCATGTGATCTTGGGCAAGTCCTTTCTCTTCTGGATCTCAGTTTCCTCCTCTGAAAAAAGAGGGAGTTGGACTTTATGTTGATTCAGATCCCCCTTTCCCATCTGTAATATTTTGGATTCAATGTTCCAAGATTCTTCCCAGATCTCACTTTTATGTTCTATATTCTAAAATCTCTCTCAGCTTTGACCATCTGCAATTCACACAATTCTGGGGGCCTCAGTTTCCTCATCTGTAAAACAGAAGTATTGGATTAGTTGACCAGTGAGCTCCCTTCTGGCTCTGACAATGTTCTTTTTGCAGTGAGTTGACCCCCTCAGTCTTCTAGCTTTCATTTTCGATTTCACAGACAGACCTTCCAATTGTTCACTTAGGGAGCCAGGGTTGAGATTAGTCCCCTGGAAGCAGACACCTTTATCTAGGGGATGGATGGGCCCTGGGAGGCTCAGCTCATTTTCCTCTAAGCTGGTCAATAGAAAGGCCCCTGGAGCCAAGTCACTAGTTTGAAAGGAATCACTTCACATGTGTGATGGTGCAAACCCTGCCTCGGAGATTAGCGCTCTGTCTGTGTCAACCCCAATTCCTGGTGTCTTAGGAAGTAGGTAGAGAGGAGCTGGTTTGGTTTGGGGTCCAAGGAAGGGAGGGTAGCTTTTGATTGCCACCTGCATCTTCTGGGTGGCCAAGGAGAATTGAGGGTGAGGCTCATTTAATTTGGGAGTGAGAAGGGTATCCAGAGATGGTGTACAGAGAGCCTCATGGGCTGCTGTGCTAGGAGTTTAGACTGGAGTAATTTGGAGATGACCCTCCGTAGTCCATCTTTGGAGTCCTTCCTTTAGAAGCGGGATCCCAGTTGCCTGGGCGATAGCTGCAGATGCTTTGACTGGGAAGTCTGTCCAGGTTAAGCTGCCTGGCTGTTGGAGGCTTGGGTCCAAGACCAAACTCCTGGCCCGGCCAGGCCAGGCCCCACATCTCCATCTTTTCTACATACTGCCGCTGCCTGGACAGAGCTAGGCTTGGGCACTTACGGCTAAGCTGACCGACAGAAAGAAGTGATCAGGATTGATAGACTGCGGCTCCACAGCACTTTCTGGGGAAGGAGATGCAGGCACATCAGACGACTCCGGCTAATTTCTTGGGGAACTTAGAGAGTCAACAGCACTTTTCCCTAAGGCGGGGGTGGGTGCTCTGTGATGGCTGCACGGTTTCCTTCCCTTGATTCAGCTCCCTCAATCTAGCTCTGGCCTTTGTTCCTTTTGGTCTCTTTCTGCATTTCATTTTCTCTCATTCCCTGCATCTCTCAATGTTTCAGTCTTCCCCATCTGCCTGTTTTTGATTTTGTCTCTGTCTCTGTCTCTCTCTGGTCTTTCCCTCTGGAATTTGTGAATGGGTGGTGAGCCCTGGGTCTTCCTGAAGGATAGAAGAGCCTTTCCCATTTCCTCCACCCCTTCATGGCAATGGAACATGAAGAGAGAAAGAGAGAGAGAGAGAGAGAGAGAGAGAGAGACAGAGAGAGAGAGAGAGAGAGAGACAGAGAGAGAGAGAGAGAGAGAGATACACATATAGAAATAGACTTTCCTTTTCCCCCTTCATTTTTCTGAGCAGACTGGCTGGTAGGCAGCCCCAGGTGAAAAGTGATGGTGGGAGGAAGACTTGGAGCATGAGGGAAAGCTGGGCTGTCATTTCTATCCCAAATAATTCACTTTGCACTTTTCTGAACTCAGGAAAGGAGACGATTATTAAGGAGTGAAGAGAGAGTGTTGCTCTGGGCCCTTAGGGGACCAAGGGAGAAATTAGGGCTGATCTGAGCCTCCAGTGAGTTTCAAAGCCTGAGGGAAAGTGAAATGGTGAAACAATGGAGAAACCTGTGGGTTCAGTTAGCATTGTAGAGCTATATGTGTGCGAGAGTATGTGTATGTATATATGAGAATGAATGCCTGTATGCATGTATATAACAGTAGATGTGCATGGGACACTATGAACGTTTATACTTATGATTGTAAGTGTGGGTGACTGTGGAAATATGCATATAAATATATCTGTTCATATGAAAGTGCACTGGTGTGTAAGAGTATTTAGGGCTCTGTGTATATGTGTGTTGAGGGTGAAGAGGGAGAGAGCTGGAGCTCCTGGACAAGATCAATCCCCCATTTTCAGCTGCTGCTGCTGAGACAGAAAGGAGAGCCACTTATATACCGTGGAGTTTGTTCAGTCCTTTCTGTGCTGAGGAAGGGGAGAGGAAGCCCAGGAAGGATCAGAGCCCCTCTAGGGACAAGACATAGGACTCCATCTCCAGGCAACTCTAGGCACACAGGGTTGAAGGTACCAGATGATGAAAACAGTAGACAAGCAAACCCTCTCTTTAAGGTGAGCCAGGAAGCTCAGGAGGAGGCCAGGGCCTAGGTATGCAGATAAGATTGAGGTAGAATGCTTTCATTCCTCACTCACCCTGGGTTCTCTTAAAAGCTCTACAGAAGAAAGTTTGGCTATCCCCTGGCTGCACCCCTCCACCTTCCCAGGCAAGCAGAGTTTGTGCAAACAGAAAGGTAAAGGGAGCCCTTCATCACTGTCCATGACCTCCCAGAAACCACCCTTTGTTAATTAGGAATAGGTGGAAAAAATATTCTACTTCAAAGTGGGATAATGGGAGGAAATGAGGGGATGGGTGGCTATGTTGGAGATTGTTTCTCTGCACCAGGGCTTTTCACTCCTGGAGCATGTGTGTGGTGTGTGTGTGTGTGTGTGTGTGTGAGAGAGAGAGAGACAGAGAGAGAGACAGAGAGACAGAGAGGCAGAGAGACAGAGACAGAGACAGAAACAGACAAGAGAGAGAGACAGAAGGAAGAGAATCAGACAGAGATAGAAACAGAGATTGAGACAAGCCAAGAACAAACACTGGGCCTTCGTCACCTTACTCTGGTCAGTAAATTAGTTATGCCCAGCTCAGTGGCTGTGTTGGGTACTGGGTACCTGCGAGGAATC